TCACCCCCAACCTCGTCACCAGCATGGGATGGCATAAATACTGCCCTTTGGTCTCTGTTTCCCAGAACTTCCCTCTGTACAAGGGCACCCCCAGGAATCCTGTTACAATGGCTCTGTAGCTGTTTAATATCAGCACAGGGATGTCATTCAGCCCTACAATCATGGATTATACTACTGCAGATTACAGATTGAAGACCACCGTGATGTGTAGCAAGCCAGCGTTGACACTTATAGTGGTGTCATTGCAGTAGCATGGCATCCCACGTGGACTCATTTCCTCCAGAAGTGGCGAAAAGAGGCCACGCTGCACTGGGTAACACTGTGATTAAAATATGCCTGGTCTCCTCTTGGGCTGTTCTGGAGCTAGCACAGTGTATCTCCATGCTGATCTGCAGCCTGCAGAATTTGAAGCTGAAAAGGCTGACTATAATAATCAAGTGTGAATCTACTCTTGCCTAACACTGCTGGGGTAATATGCCCAGTAAAATTTTCCAACCCAAGGCCAAAAACATGATGCCTCTCTCTTTCCTTCCCTCCCTCTTCTATAGACTTAATAGAAATTGCCTCCAGCAATTCCACATACATTAGAGAAGGAAGAAAACACAACAGGCAGTGCATTGGCACTCCAGGTGTGCATGCTCAGACATGGGGAGCTGAAAAGAGGATGACAGGCATGACTGCAACAAGACTGCCATAAATTACACTGCTTATGATTAGTGTGAAACCCTATTGTGAGGCAAAAATGATGCAAAATAGAGAGAGAATACAGAATACAGAGAATAGAGCTGGTTTATGCATGGATTTTTATTTGTAGTTAGTGACCCTGGGTTGATGTGATGGAGAAAGTCAGTGGACCAGATAATCAAAATTCAGAGGACAAAAAAAATTCTTAATAATAATCCTAATTAATAATCAATTTATTTTGCCTGTCAAGTAGCAAAATGGCAATGTAATCTGCGAGACAAATAATTCTGTACTCTGAAAACAGAAGTTTTGGTACTGAATGCAAGCCAAAATCAGCTCTCAGTTACACTGGTGTAAATTCCAAAACACCTCTGAAGAGATGAGCCCATGTACTGCTGGTTTATATTAATGCAAATTTGACCCTAGGCAAGATGCCAATTTAAATTCAATAGTTTTGATGAGCAGCCATCCAAAAAGAGTTGCTATTGGAATTCAAAGCAATTTGATAAAATAAGATGCTATTCACTGATCTCTTTAAATGATTTAAGGTAAAATTGTACTGCTACGGAAAGTGAGATCTGTTCTTAATGGATGTCAAGAACCTCCTTCATTGTCTTCCAACAAATGGAACAGATGGTTTCTGGCTTAAAATCAGTGCTTCTCTGATGAAGTCAATGGGTAGATGCAGCACCTGAGAGCCTAGATAGATTGCATATCTTGCTGTCTCTCTTTGAACACAAAGGTGCTGGTTGCTATGTTGATCACCTGGGTATAGTAGTCCCATTTATATTTTATATACTTGTGTGTTCATAGCATTTGAAAAGAGTAGAATTTTTTTTTCGCATTTACAAACCAAGCAACTAGTACAAAGTCACAGACCAAATCTAGGCCCTGTTCCATTTTTCACATTACATTGCTTTCAAAGGCTACAGGTAAGAGACAGCCTATAAAGTACTTCTGCTGGGACATGATTTTTAGTTTGGACCAATCTGTTACACTATCACATCTCAGTTTCAGCTTATTCTGTGTGGTGATCTCAGCTGATCTCAGACAACCTTTCCATTTTTTATTGACTCTCCCACTGCCCTAATGAGCAAGTCTAAAGAAGGTCCCTTAAATTCCTTGCACTTGGGCTTCTTTTCTCATGTCTTTCTAGAGTAAAGTGATTGTAAGATGTTTACACTATTATTCACTGTAGATGCATCTTTCATTCAGTACCAGAAAGTGGGATTGAGATTTAAGTTTGGACCTTTAAGTATGACATTAATAGTAATAGACAGTAGCTCCTTGTCCTGGCTGTGCACTGAGGGGATGGGAGCTTTGCAATATGATTTGGGGCAGCTGAATCAGAGCCTATAATATCACACTGAATAATTTAGCAGTTGTTACTGACCTTGATCTCTTCACAAATTCCCCTCTAACATCTATGACTATGTGTGAGAAAGTAAGAGCCTTTTATGTCCTTTTTTTTTATTTTCACTTTAAAAGCTTACCTGATCCAGCAGCCCTCTCAATCAGCTAAAAAGCCTTCATCCCAGTAGTTCGTTCTCATTTTCCATCTCCTTTTTGGAAGCTTTGTTTCTATCCTCCAAAGCTCAGAGAGTGGCAGTCCTCATCTGGAATATACTGAATGTTACAAAAAGTGCAGCTTTTAGGAGACTGAGCAGCCAGACATCATGGTGAGGGAAAAGGAGGAGGGGTGATCTTAACTGGACTCTGGGTCCAATGTGGAAGGACTACCAACTTCACTTTGAGTTATGTAGAGGTGGCAAAATTTCCCCTTTGCAGGAAATTTATACATTATTTTAAGCTCTTTGTAAAGTGGTTTTACCGTAGTTTGTAGGACAACAGAGCTAACCTTATTGAGGGAGGACTTGGAGGGCTGAAAGCAGGTACATCTACACTATGTAGTGAAGGAGAACTGCCCCATGTCCTCTCTCAGTAACTCTAGACCTGCAAGTAGTCTTGTAGCATTAATACGGCTGAATATAGGAGCCAAGCAGGGCTGCTTATTCACCTCATTAAACAGTCAGACTGTTTCTGGGGTCAGAGGTTCCCCTGAATAATGTTGCAGCGCACGAAGCACATGCAGCAAGCTCATGCAGGTGTGGTGGGCTTCTCTGACATGGCACTGCACCGTAATACGCACACAAGTGTTGCCTCTACAAACACTGAAACCGGTCCTAGAGCTTAAACAGTGTGAATGTATCCTTCAGTGACAGTCAGTCAGTCCCTATCATTCAGCAGAGGTAACATTTGCCTGTAGCCTTCTGCAAAATCTAGTGATACTTGGAATAGTTTGAACTTGTGATAACAGAAACGCTGAAATTGAAGGAGATAGAAGGCTTTTTTGTGATGATTTTCAGAACAGGGAATAAATGAAGGACCCTTTGCTCAGGGTTATGATTCTGTCAGCATTCATCTTCTCCTTGGAGACAGTAACAAAATGGACCCAGAAGAGCTTTTTAACTCTATTGTACCACTGTTGTTCCACGTATTTTGGTTGCTGATACATAAAAAGAGCTCCAAAAGTTCAGAGTATTTTTTTTCTCCTTGCTACTTAATTCCCAGAAAAGTAAGCTGGAAAAGATTTTATCTGAATAGGTTCTTTTCTTTTTAAATTATATATACGTGTGTGTACATATATATATGTGTGTATTTTTTTCCTCTAGCCATTTGTAGAAGGATTAAGATTCATATTGGATTCCTTGTTTTCTTGTGCATTTTGATTTGTTATGGTACTGTTATTTATCAGAAGTCGCAGTGCTTTTTTTGATAGAAAGACTGAAAGAGATGTTTGGCATTCATTTTTATATGAATTATATTTATTTCTTCAAAGACATTGGAACACCAAAGTAAAAATATTTTTTCTGTATAATAATTTGCAATATATCTTTTCTTGTATTGCATATAAATTACAATGAGTCTGGCCCTTTAAATGGTTGAAATTAAGTTATAATTCTCACAGTTGTCACTGTCTTCTGCATTATCTGTTACCACTTGATGAAAAGGAATAGTAAAATCTGCCAATATTCATTTAATAGAACAATGCAAGACCTGCATGCCCTCTGGTGGAAGCGATCCTTAACAGACTAATGTAGATCAGCTTCTGTGGCAGTGCTAAATGCCTGACCTGTAGACATACATACACTCTCCTTTGATACACTTAGTTACTCAATTAAGTTATGTTTCTCCATAGCAGACTTTGTTAGCTAGTAGGAAGGAAAACTCTTCCAGTGCATTTTTTTCTTCACACTTTTCATTACAGTTTGCAGTCTTTCATTTCTCTTCAAGTTCTTTCTTGACTTTTAACCTTGTTACTCCACTGTAATAAAAAGAAAATTATTTATATGTTGTGTCAAGGTATTGAACAGTATCTCATTATTGACGCAGGTTTTATACATAGAATTTTGCTCTGCTTTTAAGGAAGTTTACAGGTCAGATACAAGCTGAGTAAAGACGGGCTCCTCATTTTCACCATTGATTCTGGAAATTTTGCCAACCGAGAGCTGCACCATGTGAAGATTAACAGAGAAGGCAGAGAGCTAATCATTCAGGTATGCCATGATTTCAGTGCCTGATTGCCAGCAGGACTGCACGTTGATCTGGTGCAACAAAAGCTGGTCCAGCAGCAGAACAGCCCTATAGGGTAGAGCAATGCTACATCCAGACCCTGCTTCAAAGTGTGCCCAACCATGGTGTTTTCCATTGAGTGATCCTTCCCTTGTGTCTGGCAATCTGTGAATTAGGAAAGACCTTTGGCCAGAAGTTTATCTGGACCGTTGGAGTGGTTGTGGGGCTTAGGGATATCTGTGTGACCTGTAGTTCCAGAGGAAGCACACAGTATGGATCATTAAAAAGCTGCCAAAGGGAGAAAACAAGCTGAGGAATGAGCACCTGGGAATGTACTTTCGCTTAGGGTATGTGCCCCAAGGGAGAATGAGACTCCAGCTGCCTTATCCTCTCACAGAAAATGAAAAGCTGAGGGAACGCAAGGTGCAGCCACCACGTGTATGACAATGCCCTGTCCCATTGCTAGAGGTACACCATGCTGAATGTGACAACCTCACAAGGGACAAAAGCCCTCCTCTGCCTTGTTTCCCTGCATCGTCTGTTTTTCCAAGGCAGGGAGAAGAGGACCATCTTACTACTCCTTCTGCTTTCCTTCTGAGACTAATTATAGCAGTTCATATTACAAAACAAATTAGCTAGATCTGGGAGGCAGTCATTTAACAGGGAAGGGTGGCAGAGTAGGAGACAGAAATAAAGGGAGTGCCACAGTTTTTCTTTCCTCTACAGTTTCCATGTCTGGGTGATAAAATGATAACACAGTTAGCACGCAACTAGGGTGGGTAGGCCTGGTCATCTAGGAAGGAGGCTTATGCTGAAAGCCAGGGTTTTCCTCAAGCACCAGTCTTCTATTGTCTGCTGCACTGTGGTTTTCTTCTAAGCAGAACTAATTCTTCACATTTCTAGAGAGGCCTCCTTTGAGTATATTCTGAAGTGACTAGACATAGATTTTGGGAAGCAGGGGGATTTCAATGTCAAACATTTTAAGCTTTTCTGCAGGGGAAGTTTCTTCAAAGCCCTTTGTATGACTATTCTGGTGTACCTTTCAGCTTCTCATGCTAAAATCAAAGCACATTCACTTTGCTATCTTTAGAAATTGAATCACGCTTGGGGGCAGAATTAACAGATTTGAAGCTGAGAGCGTTCCCAGAAGTTTGCGGTACAGAGAGAGCTAGGGATGTCCACATGCTGTTGCAATGAACTAATTTTATTGACCTCTTCCAGGTTGATCAAGTTCTCAAACTCAAACACAACTTTTCTGAGATTGATTTTAAGGCCATTAAATCACTCACCTTGGGCAAGGTCACAGGTAGGTTCTACCAAATATATTCCAGATTCATCAGTCGTTATAGTGCTGGAGTTAACCTGTGCTGTGTGTTGGGTTTTTAATAGGATTGGAGTTTTGTTTTGCTGGTTTAGCTGTAAGAGTTGGTCTGAACATTCCAGTACTCCTATTTGTATATCTTATCAATGGAAAAATTTGACAGTTTTACTTGTTCGCACAGATAGCAATATTAACTTCTCCTGTTGCTCCCTCCAGTAAAATGGTTCATACTGCCTGTGTGGCTGCACAGGGTGACATCTTAGCCTAATGATATCATTTTGTTGACTACAGCTTGCTCCTCTCATGCCATCTCTGTTTCCTAATGATAAGAAGAATAGCACTGTGAACCTTCATTGTCTTTACCCTTTTTTCACTCCTAGTCCTTTTCCATTTGAATTCTGCAAGGAATATTTATAATATAACACTTGAGGACACAATTCTGCATGTTCTGTCTGTGGACCTTCTTGATCTTTACCCCTCCACACTAAAAAGCCATTATAAGACCAGGAAAACTCTGCCTGAAATTTGGAAAATAGAACTCCTCTATTTTGTTGTCAAGTATGCTATATTACTTTATATAAGAGTCTTATTCATTCCCAGTAAGATTCTAAATGCTTCCTTGGTTATAGACATTTCAGTCCTTTCTTAGAATTGGACCTCCATATCAAGCCTGGCATCTGTTTCACTATTACAATTTTATATGTTTTATTAATAGCACCCAAGACCTGCAGGACTGGTAGCTAGACAGAAACTATAGACATCCCCTAGTGGCTACTTCTGCAATATAATTGTATATAATGACATTACTGCATTCTGCATCATGTTTTACTAGCTAGATTAAGGTCAGGAACTGATTTTCCCCTTAATTTAAAATTTAATATTTGTTCAGAATGCAGCAATCTTTCAAGCCTTTGTGGATGGGTTTGGGGACCCAACACTTTTCAGCCCAAGTCAGAGCTAAGCTAAAAATCTCATTTTGTCAACGGTCAGCTGTAGTGCTGAAAATCTAAAAGAACATTACTCATCATGACCTCTACCTAAAGTTCCAGCTATAGATACCAAATCAATAAACCAAGGCTTTTCTAACCAGCTAGATGGAATATAGCACAAAGACCTTCAAACACGTAGCCAGCAAGCTGACAGGGTGCAGCTCAGCATCATGGACAGAAACTAGATTTAGTCACAAGAATATGATTAACTTTACAAGTGCAAGGTTGTTGCAAAGCCAAAAAGCTCAGATGTAGCTCCAGAGGTCTGGCATTCAGCTCCACTGAACACCACAGGTTTGTCTGCAGATAGCTTTTAATGGATATATCCTTCTGTTATTTCTCTCTTGCCGCAAAGTTTATTGGGATTTTATTTTGGTAATAGTAATAATAATAGCAATAGTTCATATTCTGTAATGACACTAAAGCCATACAGTTGGCCATCCAGATCGTGGGAGATCTTATTGCTGTACCAGGTATCACACAATGCGTCCCAGCAAGTCACTTTAATTCCAGCCTAATCCTAATTCTGGTTGCTTCTTCATATGTTAAGTGAATTTCCACAAACTTTTTCTTCTATGTCAGGATTTAATTTTCCAGATTTTATCCCACAGCTGTAGCTATGCTGAGTAGAGTCCTTGTGCCCTCACAGAATCACAAATATCCCTGAGTCTTCTCTCCAGTATGAGCATTCCCAGCTCTATGAAGCCTCTCCTCATATGAAAGATGCTCCAGTCCCTTAATCATCTTTGCAGCCCTTCACTGGATTCACTCCAGTAAGTCTATGTCTTTCTTCCACTGGGGACCCAGCAGTCGTGTAGTGTTACAGTTATACAGAGTACAGGAGAAGGATCACCTTCTTCTGTCTGCTGGCAACGCTTTTCTCAAGGCAACCCTGGATGCCAAGATGTTGTCTGCTTTTGCTGCAAGGGCGTATTTGTGGCTCAGGGTGAGCTTGTTGTCTACCAGGACCTCCATGTCTTTCTCTGTAAAGCTACTTTTCAGCTGGTTAGCCCCAGCCAGTATTGGTGGATGAGGTTATTCCTAAACCAAATGCAGATCTGCATTTCCTTTGTTGAACATCATGAGATTCCTGTTTTCCCATTTCTCCAGCTTGTCAATATCCCTCTGAATGATGGCACAACAGTCTGGTCTACCAATTGCTCTTCCCAATTTTGTAGGATCTCCAAACTTACTCAGGTTGCACACTGTCCCATGGTGGAAAAAAAAAAAATAAATCTCTGCTGCTACAGTGTCAAGAGTATTGCCTTGCTGTATCAAGAGAAGAGCTGGACCTTGTCATTTTAGGAACTTTTTAGAACTTACATAAATATGTCCATTCATCATTTATACTAATATATGGGTAAAATGTTGACTGTAGCTTCTTTTAATGATGGCTCACCAGAAGGTGAATACTAGTGAACTAAACTAATATCCTCCAAGTTCTTCCTTGTCATTGCTCAAAGTAAACACTTAGAGAGGTACGTGATGCTTTGAAGCAGACCTAGACTAAATGTCCACTGAAATAGAACCGTATAAAAAAACTCTGTTCTATGTGTCCTATGTATCCATGCTACATTCTGCTGAAAATTTGTTTCTCTTCTTTCCTGTCACACGACTGCTCATTTGACTGCTTCAACAGCCTGATCCTGGCTGCTTAACCAGGTGATTATACCTTCTTCTTTCTTGACTCCACCATTCATTTCCCACTGGCTGAGTAATCTCAAAGAGAGCTTCCAGCAGGACGTCATAAAAGCTTGAAACCTCTTCCTCACCAGATTTTCTTACGACAACCTTTTTAGCACAGCTGGAACTTTTGAAAAGTGCACTTTTATACAATGACCAGTTTTTAAATAAGAGTTCTTCCTCCCCTTCTACACCCCACTAGCCCCATTACACTTCCTTTAGTCAAAAGCTACTTAAACTCTGATTTTTTTTTTTTTTCTGCTTTTCAAATCTGCTGTATTTTGCAATAGCTGCCCTACACTCAGCTCTGAATTCCAAGAAAAAACCCTCTGCTTAAGGCAGAGGAGGCTCACTGGGAATTCAAAACATAGGGACACTCACTCTGCTACAGACCTGCTTGAATGACCTTGGGCAAAACTTTTATGTGCAGATATAAAGGTAAGAAGGCATCTTATTCCCACTGGAACCAGTCTGAACTTTACTATCTCTGTTCTCTATCAGTAAAGCATGGATAATAGAACATCCCTACATCAGAGGGGTGCTAGGAGGATATAAGCATTAAAGGCTGTGAGCTGTTCAGATCCACAGTAATGGGGCCATATAGATGCCTTAGAAAGATCAATCTAAATATAAGTGTGGCTTTGAAGACAAGGGAGTAAAAAGAAGCAGCATCCAAGTAGCCAAAAGACATTTGTGGAATTCATCCTCACAGTGTCCAATAGCAATAGAAAAATATTATCCCATAGTTTGTTGTCATTTTTACTACACAAATACAGAGGCAAGACACAAAAGGACCTATCCAAAGCTCATCAGCATCAATGGGAGTTTTCCCATGGACTTTAGTGAGTACTGGATTCAGGCTCCAAGTGGGTCATACAGTTTATAGCAAAGCCCCAGTGAAATCTTAACCAGAGTCCCAGTTCATTTACTTTAAATTCTCCTTGCAGAGATCATACTGCTGTATTTAACCACATAAGCTCTATTGGCAATTTAACCTAACTGAAGCTGGCTCCGCTTTGAACAGGGGTTGAACTGAATGACCTTCAGAGATGTCACTCAACTTAAATTATTCTGTAATTCTCTGATCTCAGAGACACATTTGCATATGTTTAGGTCTTGTCTAGAAAAAGCTGCTATCCTAATGGAAAATATCATTTATTTGTTTTGGGGTTGACCTTAATGAATCTTTGAGAACTTCTTACTGTGCCCCAACATGTCTAAATCTTTTACCATTATAGTCCCTGGAAAAATATTCACTGATGCAGAGAAGTGAATCTCATTGTCTGCATATTTGCTTCTGAGCAATTTAATATACTAGCTGTGTAGTGATAACAAAGTAAAAGAGTAGCATTGAAAGGAATTCAAGAATATTCTGAAGAAAAAGGTTGCAAAAATTTCTTTAGCACCTACTAATGTTGACCTAATTTACTAGTGTCTTCAAAGTGATGAATTAGCAGACCTTCCCGCATTGGTAATATAAAGAACTGTGTAGTCTAGCACATGATCATGGTATCTTTTATCTATAAAAGCCTGAGCTAAAACACATTCAAGTTGTAGGAATCTTTCCACTGAGTCTTTCAACTTTGATATAAAGTGTACGTAGAAGAAAGTTTATCTGGAAAGTAATTTTATTAAAATCATTACATAGGTGCAATACAATTCTTATGATTTCTACAATAGCTTTTCTTATTAAAAGTTCACAAGAAGAAAATGGAATTTGTACACTGAAGAGATCACAGAGCAATTCATCCAAGAGTGATATTATATTGAGGGAGATGATAACAGGATAATTAAATCAGAAGGAGTAAGTTGGCATTAACTCTGAGATACAAAAACTTCCCTAAAGAAGCATCTCCTTTTAGAGTGTTTCTATGGAAAAGACTTAAATCTATTTTTTTGCTGGAAAGTCATTCCCTTTTTTAAGCTCATAAGATCAAAATTTGATTGAGAAATTTAAAGTCACAGTCTCAGAATATTATGCTCTAGCATTTTAAACAATACAGCAATGACTGCAAGACATATTGACTGGACTCTTCTCGTCACTGCAAAGCTCTTTACTGCAGACTCTTCTTGCCCTAAATACCTGTTTCTTAGAAGAATCATACCCTAGAAAAAGATCTTTTGGTTGCTTTATAGAGTACTTTTAAAAGTAATTGTTTTTCCTCCTAGTAATCTAATAAAGCATTAAGGAAAACTTAAATGACTACTTAGGATAAAAGAAGAGAGGCATTTGGGATGGCAGCAGTTAAAATAAGCGAAGTTTGGCTACCCTAGGCACTTCAAGAAATCCAAGATCTAAGCCAATAATGCCATCATGTCTCTATCAAAAAGAGACCAAATCTATTCAGACTTTTTCCCCAGCAATATCATTTACCATATGATCATAACACCATGCTTAAATCCCCATTTTCTGATGATAATACTGCCTAAATGAGTGTCGAAGGTCATCTACTTCTATCCAGAAATTTTATTTTTAGTCTGAATTCTTGCTGCTTGAGTTGATTTTAACTGCCTGCTCCTGAGGAAAGCATGTATTCTTTTGCACATCATCTCTCCATCTTCTTGCATATTTTATTCTTTTTATAGATTATAGTTTGAGCCCATGCAAAATCATATAGGGCTGGCTGTGTTGTGACAGATTAGGATTCAAATGTCAAAAACTGTGTCATCTAACACATTTCATATTGCAACTCCAAGCAGTATTTCATTTCTGATGACAAACTGTCTGTAAGAAAACATACTAAATGCATGTCTGAAATTATCTCCGCTAAGCCTAATGAAACAAAAATTCTCAAATGTTCCATTTGACATGAAATGCTCAATTGCCATCAAGAAAATCCTGGCATGTTCTGCTCATTCCTGGGAAAACTTGTGAGAAAAAGTACCTTTACTTGCTCTTGCTGTCCCTTGCTTTTTCAGAAATGTCTTGAAGGTGCATTGAATGCCTGGACCCTGTCTCCCATTCAAACTCATCCTCTTTTTAAACAAGAGCCAAACTAGTTGAGCTCAATGGTTCTAAGCAGGAAAAAATTCTATGTTGTTCACTCTTCTGCCTTTGTGGAAGGCTAACATCAGGAAATGAGATTGTTCCAAAGATGCCTTTTTGTGGGTTCCAGTCTAATCCAAGATATGCTTTCTGCCCTTTCTAAATTAATGATTATTATCACCAATGTTTACTGAGGTTGTTGAAGGACTTAGCAGCGCATTTTTTGAGGTAACTACACAGTACCTGCTAGTCAACCCTTCTGAGACAGGTACGATGTGGAGACTACAAGAGTCTTTTACTTCAAGGTCATGGGCCAGAATCTAGTGACAATGTCCAAGAAGTAATCTTGCCAGTGCTGTTCAGCACTTTGGCAAAATGAGGTGATGGATACAGTTTAACTTCCACAAAAATAATCTTTCTATTTCTCAGACTCAGAAAAAGGACAACCAGTGATTCAGCATACAGAGTAAATTACCCTTTGCACTTCTGCCAGAGATTCATTTAGATTAATTAATTAATTAGGGCATAGACATATAAAACAGGCTATGTCTGCTCTCACTGAAGTTAAAAATAAATTTCAATTAAGGAAATCCATGATGGGCCTTTCTGGATATAAGTGAGCACACCAGTAATCTTTGGGCTCAGGTTTAAGTTTCTGAGTGACATTAAATTTATGTTTACAAAGAAACAACAAAGAGATATTGGATAATGTTTATGGACCCATTTTCCAGAGTGATATCTTGAGAAAGAAGGTCTTTTGAGCCACTCTCCCTGCACATAAATAACACTTTGGATTTCTCTTTGATTCCAGTTACCTGTAATATTAGTTATCATTTAGTATGTCAATTTGCTGATACATTGCTGAGCCGCCTAATGCTTGGTCCTAGAGAATTCCAGCAGAATTCTATTTATGATGAGAGTTAATTCCCTATTACTGAGGTATTAAGACTTAAAATTGCTTTATTTATTTAAGATCTTAAAACACATGTGTTTTATATGACACAGATGCACAAAGAAACAGCAGTGGAGCAGGATGACTGTTTTAGTGAATAGGAATGAATCAGCAGATAAATTATGTTGATACAATCAATAAAGTTTATAATATATAACTACATGTTAGACTTAATCCTCATTATCGCGAAAAGCCATTGCAAATACATGGAAAACGGGAAAGCAAAACTGACACAAAACTTACTGAGCTGTGACATTGCAGACAGCTTCCAGGGAGCAGCTAGAGGACCCAGCAAGAAGCCAGACCACCTTATGCACAACTCAGCAGACAAAGCTTAAAAATTGCTTCATAAAAATACAGGTAAACTTAAGTTATAGGGAATGAACAGTTAAATTACTCAAAAGCCATAAAAGATTGCCTTCTTACTCCCATGTAGAAATCATCCAAAGTAACTCAGTCTCCAGTAATGAGAACAGAAATGTAATGCTAAAATGTCAGAAGACCAAACCAAGCCATCAGCAGCAGTTCAGTGTGATTTTCCAGGTCAGTCAAATGCATGGAAAGATTCACAGTGTAACAAGCTCAAAGGAAGTCCACTGATGTTTCATATGAACTTGCTTCAACACAGACCTTGGAACTTCACCGAGTTGGTTCTCTTATTGAGCACGATGTCATGTAGTGAAAGTACCTTTTGGAAAAACATTCTATCATGCTTTAAAGACTTCAGGTGACTGAGTGGCCTTTAATAAGCCTTTCATAGAGGTAACCATGTCAACATCACAGATTTATGTTATCCACTCAAGAATTTGACCCTTAAAGGTCCTTTCCAACCCAAAGCATTCTATGATTCTATGAATTCAGAGGGAAGCACAACTCGTTCACATCCAAGTTGTGTAGGTCTCTTGTTGAGAACAGTGAAAGCCCCACTTTCTGAAAGACGTAAGCAAACTGTATCTCTGCACGTGGGATTTTTACCAGAAGACTCTGGGGTTGGTTTTGTTTTGTTCTTTGATTTCTTTTTTTCAAAGCCTTGCAACAACAAATCTCCTATTTCTCATTCATGCAAAGCTTACTTTGACAAGACTCCTGGAATTGGCTCTTAATTTGACTTTGTAAAAAAGCCTTCAAAAGTACTGTATCTTAGTCTTTTCAAACTACTGTACCATGAAAAAGTAATTCATTATTTCTTAGGCTTTACCTTTTGCACATTGGGGCAGAACAGAGCAATTTAGATTGCCTGATGTCTAAAAGATACCAACAAATCCACCTTTTGTGTCAGAGCTAAGAAAACAGGAAAGACTGAGAGTAGGAATGTTTACAAAGGGTTTTATAAATTCAACAAAGATGGCAAACACTGTAAATCAGTCTTTTAGTTTTGTATAAGCCTTCTTGAAAAAAACTTGGAAACAATTCTTTGTCTGTTTTACAACAGCCCTGCCAAAATCTCATTAAAAACCTGAATGCAGCCAATTCCTACACACTTTGAGAAGAGCAAATGTGAACCTCTGTAAGGCTATGGTTTTTCCAGTGGCAAAGCCTCACTGTTTCCCTTTTCCATCTCTCTTTCTTGCATTTACTCACAGCCCAGAGGCTGTCCCCCATGACAGCTCTGCAGACTGAGCATCTCTCCTATAATACCCCTTGGAGAACAAGCTCACACTATACCTTGCTTTGCCGAGAAGCAGCCAAACTCTTCCATGTTATACTTCCATGAAGACATTCAAACATAATTACAAATCTTTCTGGGCTAATTCCCTCTGGCTGCAATGACAGAACAGTCGCAGATCTTGAGCACCAAAATAATGTGTGATTTGGACTAGTTTTGAGATTTCTCTGTATTTTCCTACACGTAAAATAATTTACGTAACTCAGGTAGCAATGTCAGTTATAAGAGAAAGTCTACTTTTCTCCTAAATCCTTTTGCCTGAGAGCTTGTAAATTCATTGTATTTGAATGATAGTGGAAAAATTGGACCTTATTTTAAGGTTTACCATCTTACTCTTTCAAGCTTCGAAAATAAACTTGAAAAGCTGAGAATCCTGATTTTCCAATGTCACTAGAAGTATTTCCAAAACTTTCAATGCTAGAAGGTTTTTTTCATAAGCAAGTAATTTTTAAGACTTTGGGTAAGTTTTGATGCCATATATGTGAGCATTTGTGGTTTTTTTCTTGTTTGATTGACCTAGATAAGAGGCATATCATGTTACAGACATATGAGCAGTATAAATTTCAGTTTCTGGAATGTAAATAAATGAGAGCTTGGAGGAAAGAGAAGATGTCTTCACTGTCCTTCACTGACTTTCCCAAACAGTCTTGGATACAAAAACTTTTGGAGCTAAATAAAAAACACTTGCCTTTGAATTGGTTTTCTTTTTGTGAAATTTCAATTAACACAGACCAACAGATAAATTAATTGTGCTATGTCATCTTCAGGCTGGAAAAGAGCATGGGGATATGGGTTTTGGTTTTGATTTAGATAAAAAGGTATAGTTTTGCTTTTTATTTTATTGATGGAAAGGGGCTAGCAGAGTGAGAGCCTAGCGCATAACTAGAAGGATTCCTAGGAACTCTGATTATAAAAATGTAGTAACATGATTAGGGGCATCAGAAAAGTAAGCTGAAAGATTAATTTTTGAAGAAGGGTGGAAGCATATATTAGCAAGCCGTTCAATATTAGGCCACATGAAGCATTGTATAACAGTCAATAGAGAGCACGCTCCTTCACTGAAAGAGTAGAGCAGGTAAAATGTCTTGAAGATATGGTCCATGTCTGTGAAACAGATGCAGAAAAAGTTGAAGAGCATCATCCTCTGGATCCTGTGATACTCAGTGTTGCTATTTGTACTGTTTATTATTATGATTATTACCATGGTTAGCACCTATGATGTGTTAGATATTGTCCACACAGTAGAGAAAATGAATGAGGAAGGAAAAACAATGTAGGCTTTTATGTCTGAGCCAACTTGATTCAACATAAGTGTCATTGTTAGATGAAGGACTAGGGATGAGAACCTCATGGGTCAGGCCAGGGAGAACTTGTGGGCTGCTGAAGGAGAACCTGAACAGTTGAGACTGGATGAAGAGAAGTAAAAGGGGTGGGTAAGGCAAAAAAGGATTCATTTTTTTTACTGCCTTCCTAAAACAGATAACTCCTGGAGTGTTTTTCTGTTGTACTGCAGATAGTTTGTCACTGGACCCTGAAGTCTCAAAGGCAAATGCCTATGGTTTCACTGGCTGCCTGTCCTCTGTTCAGTACAACCACATTGCTCCCCTGAAAGCTGCCTTACGCCATCCCAGCATTGCTCCTGTGACTGTCAAAGGCTCCTTGACTGAATCCAGCTGTGCATCCATAATGGAAGCTGATGTGAACACAGTAACCACGATATATTCCTCATCAGGTATGTCCTGCCAAGAGGAGAATGGGGAATTTAGAGGATACTGTAGAGTGAGGTTTCCTTCCTTTTTGCTGTAATGCAATTGTGATAGTATAAATATTGGAATTGGGAAGTTGCCTTTTCTCTCAGAATTAAGAGTGCTGAGGAGGGACATTAGGATGAGCCAAGGCCGCTTTAAAAGTCATTGTACTAAAACAAAGTTTTCAGACTAAGTTCCTGGATTGCCTAAAACATGCCTAGAAAAAAACAAAAAAAGTCCCAAAGCCACAGTGGAAACAGCGTTGGAAATATGGTTACGCACCTGATTTGCCATTCCTGTCCACTTCAGATAGCTCCAGTGTAGCAGATCTCAAAGGAGAACATGTTACACAGATTCCATATCCCAGTGGTGATGAAGCAATCGGAGTCATTCAACAAACAAGTCGAATTTGTTCCCACCCTAGCAGAAATTAACAAAAACTCCTTGTACAAACCCCTCAACACATGTGCGTGACTTCCATTGAATGCTTGTACTTTATTCTCTCAGCCTAAAGAGAAGGAGCACTACTTGAGTCGTACCACTAAGATGATCCCAATAGTTCGTTTATCTTTTGCAATCCTGAAACTGTCCTCTGGGAATCTTAAGTATTTTGCATATGTGAATTTGTATGCAGAGAAGGAAACTCAGAGCAGCTGGAAGTGTTGTCACCAGGAGCAGGGGCAATCAAGTTGCTGCTTTAATCACCAGTGGATGTGGCAGAGTTCTTAATGACCAGAAAGGGGTACAGATTAAGGGCTATTTTTTGTCCCTTGACCTATGAAGCCACTTTCTCTTTTCTCATAACTAATAAAACTCTGGTTTAGATCATAGTATGATTCCTTTGACATTTGTACTTGCATCAAACCCCCATTTCCTGCAGCTTCTGCCTAAGATATTCAGCAGAAAACAAATGAAGCTATTAGCATTCTGCATAAGGAAAAAGGCTGCTGATTACTCTGTGGAGAGTGGCTGCCGGTGTGTGTGTGCTTCTCCCCACCCCCCAAATTTCTTCTGATGCACAGAAGAAATGTGTCTTGTAAGTACTGAATGGGCAATGATACTGCAAATATGAACTCCTTGCCCTGTGATCTGTCACCTCGATGATCTAATCTTTCCAAAGAGTTTAGAAAACAGTAAAACCTGAGGCTCAGAACTGCAGGACAGAACACAAAGCAGACTGTAGCATCTTTGAACTTAAATATTTCAAGCTTACAATCAGTTGTAGTCTATTGTCAAGGTTAAGCTCTGTTACATCAGAAATGCAGAATTATTATAAAAGCTCATCCCGGTCTTGGCCACTTTATGCTTTACAATATGATTTCCTCTCAAAATGATGAATTAACTGACACTACTGCCTCACTATTCACACTGGATTTGATTAAAGCCTGAATAAGATCTTTACAACAAGTTAATTCTGATGACTTCATGTCTTCATATGCTATAGTAAGAGCACTGGACCGTAGATTCTTGTTTAAAAAAAATTCCAAATTGTAGCAAATTATAATTTGTAGAGATGTACTTGCAAATTACATTTACACATGGAAAGGACACATTTTAAGAAATAAAAAGAAGACACAGTTGAGGATTAACTTTCAAATTTACTGCTCGTATCTATTCCCAATTTCTCATTATTGAGTGTCTGAGAAGAAAAATAGAACTTCAAAGCTGACTGTATATGTCTGTGTCGATTTTCTAATGTACAGATACTACAAAAAAAGCCCTCTAGGAAATCTCTCTTTAAAGGTGTGAAAAAAGCTTGCTTTATTTATAACTTGAAAACAATTGAAGTTCTTTCCTTCAGAGAAGAATATTTGTTGTCTTCAAGAAAGTTTCCTAGCAGATAGATATGGAATAAAATCCATTCACTCATGGCTCAGTTATCCATACACACTCTTGCTGATTAGGAAACACAAAATGAAAGGTGACTTATTGTGGTTTTGATATTTAACAAAGATCTGCAAATCAGCTTCTTTCTTGCTGAGGCACATGTAGAGGTTTTGGTGTTCTGAACTCTACACTGATGGCGTAGAGATAATGGACCTTTAGTACTTTTTTTTTAATATTTTAAATACTGTATATGGCACAGCAGATTCAACTGTGTGAATGGTGGAGTCTTGAGCTGTCCCTCTACTCCAGCTGAAGAGCAGGTCTTCATGCATTTAAAGTAAAAAATGCCAAAAAATTCCATAAGTCAGAAACTACACAGAAAAATTTTGCTTCTGAAAGGCAGCTTAAACAGTGCAAGTCCCTGTCTTACTGTGCTGGATCTGATATTTCCAAACAAGGAGGAACTGGCCAGGGATTAGCAACTATGAGATGGTAGAGTTCAGGATCCTGAGAGGAAGAAAATAAAGCAGAAAACATGACTGCAACCCCAGACTTGAGGAGAACAGCTTTGACTTGGTCATGAACCTGCTTGGAAGAATCCCACGGGATACAGCCCGTTATGTTTTATGTGTAAAACAACAATTTTTATCCCCATTCCAGTCCTACAAATGCAGTAAATGAGATGAAGCATTGCCATGACTATTTGTTTCTTGGCAACATCACTATAGGCACCCAATATCCAATATTATAAGAGTCTCTTGTAAATAGGTCTCAACCTGAATGTCCAAATCTGTCATTGTGAATTACCATTCATGTTGATAATGAGTGTACTGGAGGTGTTCAGTTGGCCCCAGAAGTCCCTTTTGTGCCTGTAGCTCAGTCAATGAACTGCAGATATGGGGAAGTCTGAATTTTCAGTATGGATGTGTTTGATGAGAAATCCTTCCACCCCTAAAACTAGCAGTAGATCTGCATCTTTTAAAGCATGAAAGCCTCTTTGAGGCTGATGTCTTCTGCACATCTTTGGGGCTGGTATCAGTGATGTAGAGAATAGGAAGAAGTGCCTCCTTTAAGAACCTAAATAGCCCAAAGCCACCATCATTACAAACTCAGCACCTCCTGATACACAAATGCGAAATTATTGCTTGTTTCAATAAAAAACATCTTGGGCAATGAGATACCAAAATGTGGCTGATTCAGCTACTAAGGCAAGGATGTTCAATTACAGTAAACCTTGGAACACTGAATTTCTCAGTCAGGCTTCCACCCTTTCCATCAGAAAGATCAGTTTGGCAAAGCAGTATAGTATATGGCAGAGACAGTCACCCGTAACGCCCATGTACATCCTCTGTATGATGACCTGGAGGCTTGTAAAGGAGAGAAACACAGATCAGAATCTTGTGAAAGGAGAGGGTAAGCTGAAAGAAAAAAAAAAAAAAAGTGAAGATGCAGAAAAGCTGGATTCAGCTAGCAGTAGAAAACACAGCATTTTCTGAGACATGCAGAACTACAGTAGGTACACTGCCATAACTCCACTGACTCCAGGGAGGACTGAGCCTCGCAGGTTTGGATCTGGATTTGAAACTGCTAGCATGTAGACTGTTTGGCCCAGTGTTTCGACAGTAGTCATTTATAGATAGGGTACAAGAAAGCTCCAACATCAAGGGGACTTTAATACAGGAATTCATTTCTGACCCCTTTCTGGTTTGGATCCAATTTGACCACTGCATTTCTGCAGTGAAGAGAAAAACATCCCTTCCAAGAAGCTGTCCCAAGCACATACTGCTTCTCTTTATGAGATTGAATTAGACTTGTATATCTTCGTCTACAAACATAGGTCAGGTCTAAATCTGTCTAGCCTTCCTTACCTTTTGTTTCTTTCTGATATTGTTTCTTAGGTATTAGCAAAAAAAAAAAAAGGAAATAAAAGCTCTGACTGAGAAAAAATCCCAATGGGCAATTTAGTTCAAATGTCTCTCTGATTCTTCTACTGATAAGCTGAGACATTTTCAGATGTTAGTGTGAGCCTTTCTGTTTCCTTTTAAATACACCCTTAACAGACTTCGCTCCTGAAGATGTAGAAGAAAATTTTCCTGCAAGCTCTCTTTAGTTTGCAGAGAGCTTTCTGGTTCGATTCTCCAATCCCCCAAATCACATCTTTTGAAAACAGATTAGAATTCATGAGGGTAACAGGACATTTCTGTCTGAGCCACAGAGAAAATTAATATAGTTGATACAGAAAATAAGTCCTATTTTATTTAACCAACTGCAGATCCTTTTGGGAAGACAGATGAAAGAGAGCCTCTCACCAACGCAGTCAGAAGCGATTCAGCTGTGATTGGAGGTAACTTCATTTTAAAAGATTACAATTGAAAAATAATTCTGTCAAGGCAAACATCTAGGGTACTTTAAATCTAGGGTCCATAAAACCCAGTTCAAGTTTTTTTTAATACAATGCAGATCTAGTATTTGCTGTATTTATTAGCACATACCTATATCAAGCTACCTAGATAGGCACCTGCGTTATGGATGAAGTGAATAGGGGCAGCATGTGGTGTTGGGTATCACCCAAAAGAAGGCATTATGAATCATCAAGAACCTGAGTCTTCTGAAATATAACCAAAGTCTATCTGTCTGCCTGCTTGAGCAGGGGATTTGGACAAGATGACCTCCAGAGGTCCCTTCCAACTTCAACCATTCTCTGATTCCATGTGATTCTGTGATCAAAGACTCAGCAAACTAGTAATTCTTTTACACACCACTATGATGAGAGCCTCAACACAATATTTCTTGAGCTCTCTCTTTGCAAGGTGGTGGTGTAGTGGAACTTGCTAGGTCATATGGAAGCATTTACATACTAGGGAAAGTTGTCCTCGTAGCTTCATGTATGGTTTTCATTTTCCTTTAACAACCTGGAAGGTAATTTATCTCTGTTTATTTTATAGGATACCCTGTAGGGAGTTGCCTTTGATAACATCTAGAAACTATAAACCAAAGTGTACAAGGCTCATGCAAGGTTTCCAGAGATAACACAGAAGAAAATATGCCAGAGCAGGAATTTGAATGAGCATACAGATCTAGTTTTTTAAAACCAAACACACTGACCCAACTTTACTTCCAGTGAAAGCAGAATTTGACTGAAATTAGAAGGTCAATTACATCAATGATTGCTGCTTTAAATCTTACTTAAGGTGACAAAATAGAAATAAAAATTACCAGGGAGGATGTGATAGAGGCAGATGATTGTATATAGACTGAGATGAACTGGTTTATTATATCCACTAGCTGTTGAGCATTGATAATGTATTTTTGAGGTAATCGGGGATTTGATTTTTACTCTTTCTATCCTTTCTTTTTTTGCCCCTTTTCAGGTGTAATAGCAGTTGTGATATTCATCATCTTTAGCATCATTGCCATCATGAGCAGATTTCTCTATCAGCACAAACAAGCGCATCGAAGTAGCCAGACAAAGGAGAAGGAATACCCAGAGAACCTTGAGAGCTCCTTTAAAGCTGACATTGACTTGCAGAACACAGTGAGCGAGTGCAAACGGGAATATTTCATCTGATGGACAATGCAATTTCTTCTTACTCTTACTCCCCTAACCTTCCTTCCTTTATTCCTTTCTTCCTTCCTTTTTTCTTTTTGTAATTTTTTTTTTGAACATTAATTTTTGCTAACTTCTTTTTCATTTGGAAAAGACCGCCCTGCACAGGAAACACTGACAACAGTCACAGTGCCTCATTCTCTGCACAAGAACCTGGCAGTCACAATTTACTTCTGCAACTCAAGAGACCTGTTATCCCACCCTACACAAAATAAGATCCACATGCACACTTCATTTCTGCTGTGGGTTCCTGGATGTTTCAAAGTCCCTACATTTTTATTTGTGTTTTTCTCTGGAGCCGTTTAATTCACCACTTTTACACTAGAGCTGGACTATGTAAAGTAGAGGTAAAGTAGCTGAACACATAGCTCTACAGATACTGGGACAGGATAGAGGGAAAGAATGAGACCAAAATGCCTGATTTATTTTACAGGCTCATTTACAACAATCATAAAGAACTGGCCAAATTCTCAAATGATATGAATTGATATATATCTATTGATTTCAATGATGTTACATTAATTTATACCAGTTGAGAAGCTGGTATGAGGTAAGGAAAAATAAAACTGTCCTCATTAAGCTCCTTCCCCCAACCTCCTGTCCTTTTACTGTAACTTTTAGGCTTATCAGTACTTTTCCAACAATATATGTATCAACAATAAATGTCATTCCTGTGCACTTCTTTCACCTCCATCTCATAAGGCTGGCTATGTAGACTCAACATACTCTAGCATAACCCTAGCTGAAGCATGGAAAATAGTAGCTTGAATCTCCAAGGGTTTTAGGAAGCTGCTAGGACTTAGGTGCTCTATATTTGTCTGAAATGTTAGAAATGCAGCGTATACCTGTTCATGCCATATGGAGGATTATCACGTGCTGAGGTTAAACACTGTTGCCACTGTGGCAAACAAAAAGTACATAAACAAGAAAAAACAAAAATAGTTTAATCTTAAACATGAGTCATGCCTTCTGCCAGTTCTGCTAAAAAAGAAAAAAATCCAACTGTTAAAAAAAAATTGTAGAAATTGGAATATCTTCTCCAAAGCTAAATAGAGAGAGGTCTGGTTCACGTCTAAAAAGGTTAATATTTAATCAACTCTGTTGACAAGGAAGAACATTAGGGATACAAGTTAAAAAATATCTCCAATACTTTACTTTGAATTAATCTTCTCTCCTGTTTTTCTGAAGTCTTCTGTCCTTTCCTGATTGGGAACAATACTGAAGACGCAAATTCTGCCCATTTTACTTGTGCTGCATGCTTTCAGTGTGAGACTGAAGAACCTTCTTTTCAGTCACAGATATCCTAAGGGTAAGAAATGGAGAAGTCCCACACAGGGAGGTTTTTCATACCCTGCTTGTGCCTGTGTGACATACTGCTTTTGCAGGGCTTCTGAAGAGTATGTAGAATTTGCTGTCAGACTTCAAGGTTTCTGACCGGAGTTGAATCAATTCAACACCTAAGAAAAAAAATATCTCTTATTTATTGCAGTATTCTTGATAAGAATTAATTCAAGTCAGTTAATTGTGCAGCTGAATCTCCTTCTTTGCCCCCTACAACATTCTGCAGCCATCCTGGGGTTTCCACATGGTGATCCTTTTTACATAGATTAAAATCAAAGAATCACAGAATGAGGTAATAACCCACAGCAAACTAGACATGAAGTTACACATGCAACAGGTGCTATTTTTCCAGGCAGTGCATTGCAAAGGTATGTAGCTGGTTGGTTTTTTTGATGGGAGGAGGGGACAGACAAGGAAGAATAAATAAATTACAGTTTGGATACAGTGATTCTTCACCACTTCTTTTGGAAGACTTTATGAGAAGTAGCGTCCAGTGAAGAGAAAGCAATCTTGGAATGATATTGCTCTCACGTGAAGAGGAATATGTGAGGCCAGCCCCATAACCAAACTCTAACCAACCAATTTTATAAAGCCATTTATGTTGAAATCAGTATTCGTGCCATTCTTTCTCGACTGTGGTTGACAACAGCCCTTTTGCCTTATGCTGGCTGTTTGCATGATACATGATTACTTCAGAGTGTTTCTGCATGATGAGATGTGTAATGATGGACTCATTAGCTGTGTTCCCTTTACGTTGCTTTATCTTTTGCGGTAAAATCCTGGCAAAGCAATTCTCTTTTCTCCTTCTTTCCTACCTTCCTTCCTTCCTTCGTTCCTTCCTTCCCCCAGCTAAAGCTGCTTTGTTTGGTATGGCAGGAGGGGAGGAATAAGCGAGTGCATGGGCTCCTCTGCTCATGTTTGAGTAATCTTATCTGAAATAGCGTCTGTATGAGACACCTCTGAAGTCCTAATGTACTTAATTGACTTTATGAAGAATGGAATAGGAAGGAAGGGAAAAGCCCACAAGTGTGTGTTTTTCTCTAGCCAAACTAACATATACAAATCATCCTTCTGCTTTCCTACATGTTAGTTTCCAGGAATAAAATTACTACAAAGTGCAACAATAAAGTGCAAAGCAGCTCCAGCAGTGGAGTAGCTGGGAAAACAAGACTGAGCAATGAAGCGGAGTCCTCTCATTTCTCAAGTGACTAAATTACTTTCAGCCATCTTAGGGTTTGATTCTGCAAGATGCTGAGCTTTCTCAAGGAGGATCAAGTTCCCATCACCAAATGTAGATACTGGTGTTGCTGCAAACATTTCAGATACAGCTCAGTGGCTCACTCCTGGGCCAGAGAGTAAGTGTAGTGGCATGCTGTGTGCAAGCCTGGACCTGGCAAAACAGTGTAAATGGTTTGTTTGTCCATTTTTCCTTATCTTCATTTAATATAGCCCAGGCTGATAAAACTCCTTGAAAATTTAACTGTGTTGGTGTGCATCTGTAAAAAGAAAGAACTGCACATACATAAATGCATACATAAGTATACAGAAAGATGTGCATCTATACCTTTGAATGTAATGAGATGTGAATATTTATATGCTACAGGGCTGGACAAATGAACACATTTGTACACACTTGCCATTTAAAATCCTATCTTCTAAATCAGAATGTCAATATTCTTCTTATTAAAAGGCAGCTAAAAGATACTATGTGAAGTACCTCAATACTAACTCCTTTTTTAATTTTTTTTTCTTTTGTTGTAATACTTTCTTTAGTGAGGACATAATCTGAATTACTTCAGTACCAGTTAAAGGCAATTAAAAATAATTTTTTAAAAAAGAGAAGAAATGCAATTTTGAAAAAATCTACCAGTGTTAAAATTGCTTTCATTTTCCACAGTTCAAATTAGACCTTTCTCCCATCTATTGCAAACCATTTCTGCTATTTTTATTAAAATTGCTCTTTAAATGGCGGGGTCTTTCCTTTTTCTTTTAGCTATCATTCTAGATAACATTTTTCTGTAAATGTAGGGGATAATTTTTATGTGTAAAATCAGTCGTCATAGAATCATAGAACATCCTGAATTTGAAGGGACGCACAAGGATCATCGAGTCCAAGTCATATCTCTGCACAGGACAACTGCAAAATTCACACCATGTGTCTGAGGGCGTTGTCCAAATGGTTCTTGAATACAGTCAGGCTTGATGCCATGACTACTTCCCTGGGGAGCCTATACCAGTGCTCGACCACCCTCTGGGTAAAGAATCTTTTCCTAAGAGCCAACCTAAACCTCCCCTGGCACATCTTCATGCCATTACCTCGGGTCCTATCATTGATCGCCAGAAGGAAGAGATCAGTGCCTGCCCCTCCACTTCCCCTCGTAGGAACCTGTAGACCTTAATGAGGTTTCCCCTCAGTCTCCTCTTCTCCAGGCTGAACAAACCAAGTGACTTCAGCCACTCCTCATACGGCTTCCCCTCTAAACCCTTCACCAACTTTGTCGCCCTCCTTTGAATGCTCTCCAGTAGCTTTATATCCTTTTTATATTGTGGTGCCCAAAACTGCACACAGTACCCAAGGTGAGGCCACACTGGTGCAGAGTAGAGCAGGACAATCCCCTCCCTCGACTGGCTGGCTGTGCTGTGCTTGATGCACCCCAGCATAGTGTTGGCCCTCTTGGCTGCCAGGGCACACTGTTGACTCATGCTCAACTTGCCATCGATGAGAACCCCCAGGTCCCTCTCCGCAGGGCTGCTCTCCAGCTTCTCATTCCCCGGTCTGTATGTGCATCCAGGGTTGCCCTGTCCCAGGTGCAGAATCCAGCACTTGCACTTTTTAAATTTCGTACAGTTGGTGATTGTTCAGCTCTCTAATTTGTGTAGCTCTCTCTTCAGGGCCTTTCTGCCTTTGAGGGTGTCAACAGCTCCTCCCAATTTTGTGTGATTGACAAACTTAGTATTCCTTCAAGTCCTGCATCCAAGTCATTTATGAAGACATTAAAGAGCATTGACCCTAAGATGAATCCCTGTGGAGCCCCGTTAGTGACTGGTCACCAGCCCGATGTGACCCCATTTACTATAACCCTTTGAGCCTGACCCATCAGCCAGTTGATCGCCCACTGCATTATGTGTTTATCCAGCTGTATGCTGGACATTTTAACCAGGAGGATACTGTGAGAGATGGTATCGAAAGCTTTACTTTAAATCTAAGAAGACTGCATTGACTGGCTTCCCTTGGTCAACTAGGTGGGTAACTTGTCGTAGAAAGAAATTAAGTTTGTTAAACAGGACTTTCCCTTGTGTCAGGATTTATGTTAGGATTTGTTTTAATGGAAAACCTGAGAGTATCAAAGAATTGTTTGGAGATGTTGTTTGGTTGCTTGGGTTTTCTTCCTTCTCCCAAGACAAGTTTCATATCAAAAGTAAGGGGCTAGTAGAAGGATACAAGTCTTTTTTTTTCTCCTCATGATATGGTATGTAACCTCTGAAAATTATTATTGCTAGGCAGGGATTTTTGGGCTATGAAATTTCTAAGTCACTTAGATATGGATTTAGGCACTGCAAGTTCCTCTTTTCCAGACATGACTTGACCAATAACAGCCATGCTTGTAAAGATATTTAGTCATGCAAAGTCTGAGTTGCATGCCTAGAAGGACTATCTGAGAACCCTAGTGTCTGGCTATAGAAAACAAATGAAGGCTGTCTGTCAGGAACTTAAATCCCACTAACTTTCAGTGAGACACAGGCTGCCACCTGAGTGAAGTGTGGGCTTTCAAAGGAATTTGGTCTCCTGAGGATGTGGATCAATGCTTAAGTGACTAAACAAGATGAACACTTGACTCTAATTAATTTCAGTTGGATTTCTGCTTCTACCTTACTGTGAAATGTTTTAAAATACTACAAGACATTTAAATGCCTTTGAAAATTGAATCCCATTTCTCTTTTGGAAATAAAACATTGGTCCTAAGCAAGTCACCTATGCAATTTGCAGTAAGTATTTCATCTGTCCTTATTCGCTTACTAGAGACAAGACAGTGTGAGTGTTTCGAGTAAATTTTTAACACGTACACTTTTTTTTTCCTTGGCATGGCACAGCACTTAGGGTATGTCTGCAGTGAAAACAAAGTCAGACAGTAGACAGACTTTTAACTCACATTGGCTAAACCAGGATTCTCATCTGGATCAACATAGCTGTGAAAACAAGCCGTTTAGGGCTGTACTGCTATCAGATTGTGTTCAGTCATGAGATTCCCCTGACGTTTAAGTTAAAACTGATAGCCAAAATACAAACATGAGATGCTTTCTCTCTGCTTTATTTTAACCTGATCCACCTAGACTTAGTCCTTCCTATTTAGCAATTGCTCAATTTTTACAGTGTAAGCCAAACCCTTATTTTAACGAGATGTTTGTCTATATTAGCATTTAGCTGATCACATATTTCACTTACTGGGTGAGGAGCAATCAATACATCATATAATTTCACTATGGTGAGGGGATATGAATCTTCTTATGAAGTCAGCTATTGATTTTGCTGAGCATAAGATTGAGTCCTAGACCTATGGAAGCACTTGAAGATTGCTTTTATCCGAGTCTTTTGGGTTTGTTTCATTTTGCATTTCGTTTTACAGGCTACGTGTTTTACACT